AAATTTACTAAGAAACTTGTATACTAATATGAAGCGGCGCTCCGGAACCCAACGGATCCCGTTTTCCTAGTTTATTTTATAGAGAATGAAGTTATTTATGTGAAAAAGTTTGTTGAGGTTGGTCATAATAATACTCTCTGTTTAGATCATACGTATGAAGGAATTATTTGTCACCAAAATTGTGGAGTGGAATATAATAAACAAGACGCAAATGATCTTCGAAAATGTGACTGTTTATCGGAAAATAAACTTTGCATGAAGTGTGAGTGTGGACCTGAAAGGTAAGTTTTAATTTTATAAATTTATTTTCTGGTTGAATTGAGCAAAAGCTTTAATTTGTGTCATTTCAATATAATAGACATTTTCAGTCGAATGAATAACTTAAATATGAACTAGCCAGTAACATTGCCGAAGAATTGCTAATAAATAAAATTCATTACGAAAAAGCCGTTAGAGATTATCAAGATAGTATATCCAATGCTGATGCTTGTAAAAATATTTTGAATGAACTGAATTCCAAAGTAGAAGGACTTTGCGAATGTATATATCAGCATTGCACAAACTTAGAAAGATTTGTACTCGCTTTAACTTTGCCAGCGAACTTCAAGCAAACATAGACAACATGAATAAATTTGCTGCAGCAATAAAAAATCTCAAAAGAAAAGAAAAATTATAAGCTTTATTGTAAAAATCAAGAAATTTATTAATGATCAATCAAAACATCAATTACTGTAAGACTGAAAAAAGTGACGAGCTCAGCTCTCTGAATTACATGTACAGTCTTTTTTTGGTATAATTATGAAACACCGTTCGCATCCGTCATATGTACAAATGTGATGAATGCGTACGATAAAGAAAAAGAGTCAGGTAGAACATATTGGACGCCCACATCAATAAAGGTGATGGGACTATATAATATATAGTCCATCCCTTTCTTTTGCTGTTGGTCCAAATATTGAAAAAGTTTCGTCTAACTGTAATTATTTATTTCTTATAAAAGTAAGTGTGTAAAGTGGATAAATCTAACAGAGCTATTAATAAAATCAAATTCTAACATACTGAATCGACGTATTAGATTAATAGTATCAGATTATACATCTCAATCGAATCGACACTTCATCATCATTACATATATCCTACTTAACAAAATAATATCCGTTACTAATACATCATACTTCCCTATAACATGGACCTGGGTCATGGTCTCGTGATAAATGGATGCTCGTGACTTCGTTCACGGCATCCCATCAACCTCAAGCCGAGCCGCTAATGGTACATTATATGATTTCACAAAAATCTTGATATACTTCTACTTTTCTATGCAATATTTTTTTCAATATATGAAATACACGTAAGTTATTAGGCTAGAAATAGAGATGGGCACACGCGGATCACGCGCGTGATCCCGCGCGGGATATTTAATATGATCCCAAATAAAATTATCCTGCCGGCATTATAGCTGTTCTCTCATAAATTTTGGGGCATCTGGTAAAAAAATTGACCGAATGATTGTTTGGCCGATTCGATAAGTTTTTTATGGTAATGAACGATTACGTAATAATGTGCTAATAACAAAGATAACGTATACCGATGCGATGGCTAGCAAAGTAATGGCGCAAAAAATTGGCAGTCCTGTGACTAATCTATAATCGATGCAATCTAATTTTCATCTAAATATTAATATTTGTGCTAATAAAATAGAGAAGTTATATCAAAATTTTTGTGCTGAAACTTTTATTTAATAACAAAAAACTAGTTTCATAGCAAAATTATGGTTTTTTTTTGCGATTTCTTGTTTTTTTTCGCCATTTTTTTTTTCTTTAAATTTTGATCTTACAATCGGATTGGGTAAAAATCACAGGACTTTGCGCCATAACTTTGCTACTTGTATAAACAGGGGGAAACGTTGAACGTCATAAAATCGTTACACAATTGATAAAAAAATTTTTTATATTATTTTACAATACTTTTTTGGAAGGCTCGCTTGACTTATC